TAATGATAACATATGAACTGTAAACGATACGACAAATTGCATAATTAAATTGAAACTGTAAACAAAGAAAATTACCATGTGCCTAGTTTTAAGCAGAATCATTATTACATTAATGAATAAAAAAAAAAAGAAATCTTCCCACATTTTTTGCATTGGAGAAAAGTCCCTCGAAATTGTTATTCGGCAATGGCAATTATTGGTGTGAGGAGAGGGGTCGATGTTGGCTGGTTCCACCCTATTCCCCCGCTCCCCGCCAAGTGTGTGCATGTATGCATGTGTGTGTGTGTGTGTGTGTATGTGTGTGTGTCTGGATGTACCGGTGTGTATGGAAGGGATGGTGCATGTATGTATGAATCGAACAATGCAAAGCCCACTCTTTCTATCGATTTACACGAGAGTCGATGAAGGAGAGCAAGAGAGAGAGAGAGAGAGAAAGAGGACAGAGGCAAAAAAAGGAGGGAAGTGTATGGAAGGGATTGGTAGATTTGGGTAAAAAATTGCCCAAATTCTCGACAAAAGGATGAATGAGCACTCTTCCAACGCATTTATTTCCATTTTCCTCACTAATTACTACATGTTTTCAACTTGCCGGGCATATTTCTGTCCCAACCATCTGATCCTAAGCTTGTCCCAATGGGATATTGTAGCAAGCATTTATCATCGTCATCGTCACTTGTCCAAGAGATCAATACCATCCCTTCTCATTCCTTTGTTTGTTTTCAACTTTTCTGAAGCAGTTTGAAGTGGTTCTAACGATGATGCTGATAATGACGGCGATGACGTATGTCTGCACACACACACACACACACACTTAAAGATAAGGTCTAACTTTCACAGCTGTTCTGAAGAATATTGCCTCTTCTAGATTATATAGTATCTCACTCTACATATACTTCCTACCACATTTCACTTTTTTTTCTAAACTTCCAATTCTGCATGTCATCCCTACCTCTCTCTACCTAGCATTATTCTTAATATTTACAAATTGCTTTGTTAAGCATTTGTGTATTATTTGTTGTTGACGTTTTTCTTTCCTCTCCCTTCTATGCCACCCCTCTTTGGTTTGATGATATTTGATGACGAGATGAGGAGTAGACGGAAGATAATGAGAATGAAAGGAGAAAAAGGGTTGACAAGAATGAGTGGGAAAAAAGAGGGAATAAGGATCACTTCTCCTATCCCTTCTCTCTCTCTCTCTCTCTCTCTCTTCACATTTATGGGAAGTCTTTTCTTCTAGCACTCAAACATAAAAACAACTGTTGCTTGAATATATTTCTTTTCTCGTTGTAACAAATGTTTTTGTCTATTCCGTTCAACGGTAGTGATAACATTGATGATAATGACAAGTGATGATAACAACGAGACACCATCGTGCCATCGTCTTTCATTGTGAGTTGAACGGTTATTGGCACATAGCAGACGTATCTGATCAGATAACATCTAATCAATGGGAAGGTTATAATTGTGCAGTTGCATTCACGACTGAATGCTTCTTGCCAATAATTGCAAGTTAGGAAGGGTAGTCAATCGATGCCGCAAGATATTCGCAGAACAAAGAGCACACTCTTGCCGTATTCTTTTGTCTCTCTCCTCAAGGGACAGGTTTTCCCTTTGTAACAACCTTTAATTGCATGATCAATTCTCCCCATAATTATTATCAAACAATGGATGGTGATGAGTCGGATTCTAAGCAGCCTAACAAACAATACAGGTGGGTTATTTGACTTTGTCCTGTCTCGAAATGAAGCAACCTATAAGATTCATCAAATAAAAGAAATGAATCAAACAGTTCCTCCTTATTGTTGACATACTACTATTAACATATATACCTCCAACATACGGGAAATAGAATTTGAATTCTTAGAAAAGTGTATGTTTCACAGATTATAGAAATACTCAAATATGGAACAGCTCAATTGCAAAGATATCGTTTTATGGAAGAGTCCCTAGATTTTGTGCTATAAATGACACGAATTGATTTCTTCAGTTGAAGCATTAACACAGCTAGCTGCAGTTTGTGCTTAGAATTTCTCATTCAGTTTTAAATGCAGACTAACACTGATGACTGGTAAGCATGGAGTATGCATGTGCATCGACAACTCATCCCCTATCTTACACCAACTCTTGACCTGCTCTGTAACAGCTACAGTTACTCGTCAGGATGAATCTAATTTAGTGAAGGAGGTTGGTCCCCCTTAGTGCGGTATAAGTGGGATTTGTCTCTGAACATATATATATATGTGTGTGTGTGTGTGATGGCCTTTGTGAGTGCAATGAACAACAACCACTGCCGCCAACAAAGTCATTAATCTTCCACTGGAATTATAGTACGGGTCTGTGGGTCTGCTTTGCTCTGGTATGTGTGTCAGGGTGGTTGCACAGAGCGTTCCATTGTCCTCTTTTACAATCAGATCAGAGGGCAGAAGAGAGAGGTCACATGTTTGGACGATCGATTTGTGGTGATGGTACACTAGATGGAGGGAGTAGGAGTATAGGCGAGTTTCGATCAATTACCGAGTGGAGAGGAGGGTTTGGCGGGATGGAAAGAAATTCAGAATAGACTGAGATGTTTACGAGCGCCATCGATAATTCTCTCCTCACCCACTCCATCCCTTTCCCTCCCTTTCTTCGTCTTTCTCTGCTTGCCTGTGTGCAGTTGTCATCTGCTGTGTAATTTCATTTTATGCGGATGGGAAGGAAAGATTGAAATTGAACAGTTAGGGTAAAGTTAACGTAGCACAACGTTTTAGGCAAATACTACTTGTGTCACTTGCAGCCTTCATATTCTATTTGCCCATCTAAGTAAGTGAGCAGATTAACGATCATAAAGTCTATCCTCATAATCTCTCCTTCTCTCCCATTGTTATGCTTTGCAACCTGCCAGCTAGGTGTGAATGGATGGGTAGTTGTTCAGTTGCCAGATTGTAAACATCGGATTGCAAATGGAGTCCTAGGGAGGAAGTGGAACGATACGGAAATATGGGTTGGTTCGTTGTGCAGTTTATAGGGAACGTTTCACGGGAACAGACTAGGAAAACATTTTAGGCTCATTGTAATGTATCGTTCCACCGTGAGCAGAGCAGCTAAATCTTTGATGGAAGTACCGCTTGTTAATATTGACTAGCATATAAGTCCCGATGAAAGAAGCACTCATATAATCGTATATTTTAGTATACCACTCAACACTAGCAACGCTTCCATTAAAACTAATCCCAGTGTATTACTCCTAGATTTAGTACTACTAACACTATGCAAAAACTTAATGAAGTTTACATCTCGCAGAAAAATGGTCAAAAAATGCGAACAATTAAGTGGTGAGTTTATACTGTCAGTTAACTAGTTGCTGCTATTCCCATATTTCTCCAAGCACAGTGAAGTACTGATAACGTGGTAAGAAGCTTACATACTAATGTTCGAGAATACAGCAGTGATGTAGTCACCAGAAGGCTTTCAGGATTGCACAGCATATCTTTGTGATCCGTATTTTATAACAACAAGGATCTTTTCAGAAATTTGCTAACACATAAACAATGTCAAGTCTCGCGGTTTAACAGTATATTCAGTATAAGATTAAAGGAATGTTCCAATGTTCATCATACCAACTAATTAACTCTTCTCAGGCTGCATTTCAATCAAACTGGGGATAGTATGACGGCAACACTCATAACGTTATCAACAAGAACACCTGAGTCAAGACGTCACTGCCACCAATTATACTTATTCGCTATTCCATTCCATTAGGTGAATTCAGCAGCTACCTCCACGACCGGGGCTCCCCCGCAAGTCTAGCACGTCTGTGCCTAGCACTGTTATGCAATAACGAGATATACGAGATGGTCCACATACCCGGAAAATCTGGATGTTCTAATATCAATTTATGTAAGCCAATACGGTTAGTCTTATTATGCGCAATTTGTGTGAAAAGTAGATTGTATTGTGAAATACATTCGTTTACACATCAACAGTAAGCACCTACCATTTCAGAGGAAAAGGATGAATGGAAATACTAGGAGCATTTCGTTCTAACGTATTCGAGATGCTTTGAAATCAGCGAATTTCAGTTAGTGTTTTAATTGCATTACAATATGTACCGTAAATTCTTTAATGCTATTAAATGAACATTTTCTCAACCATTACCGAGTTCTAAGGTTGTTGTTTTCCAGGACCAAATAATTGTCAGTCGGCAAACATCAATCGATGCCTAATTCAGGTAAGAATTGATGACATTTATAGAACATCGACAAAACTGTTGTCAGTTCTCTATCAGTAGTACTTTATCACTGGTTATAGTAGAATTTATAGCAATCCTATTTCTGCATCTATCATTTAAACATCCACATACTATTTGATGGTTGACAACAGTCCAGTACACTGTGGACCTTAATCGTATGACATACTGAAGATATGAAATGGGGGCTGGCACCCTGAAGCTGTTGCAGGACAAACATCATTGATAAGGATTCATATCAGATTAAAGTAGCTAATGATGTGACAAAATATTCCTAAATGTGAAATAACGAATGTATAGTTGTGCCTCATAAAAAAAGCTTCATTTCTTCAAGCGTTCCTAAGCATATATAGCGATTAGTTTCTTGTGAATTGTAAGCTTTTACAGCTTTGTGAATATGGCAACTTCCACTAGCAGTTTATTTAATAGAAGTAAGTAATCAGCAGAACAGGGTAGGATTAATTATCTTGTAACTCGTCACCTTATCAAACCTTGGCTCCATGAGTTGTTTACTGCGATAAAATTGTGCACTGCTATGCTGAATCAAATGGGATCTCTCTTCCTAATTGGCGGGATAGAGCTGTAATTAGGTTACCTACTCTTTCTTATGCAGTATGATATTAAGGAGGACTTAAGGGTAGTGGGTAGAATAGGTAGAGGGTGCTTTAGCAATGTAATCAGCAATTAAGAGGTGAGCATGTTGTATGGTATATCTTGTTTTGGTGTGGAAGAGGAGTGGAACAAGAGTGTGAAGGGAAAGGGGTGGAAATATTTACCTTACATTTATAGGTATCCTGAAATTTATATGTGGGGAAAAGGAGGAGGCCCAATTAAGATAGCGATGAGTCTTTGCTGGTCGAATCTGAATTCGACCACAGAATTTCATCACAACACACAATGCAGGAAGCAGAAGGAAGACACTAATGTCGTCAAGAACCACCAACGCTATCGCTGCACCATCCTCCTCGACGACACGACACACAAATGAATAGGTTGCTATGGAATGGGTGGTAGACGAGGTTGAATGGGCGGTGTCTAGATGAATAGGTGGGTGGTTCCAGAACGGCAAACGGTACTTCACATTATTAACTACCCCCCGCATTCTAGAGAGATTGGGTGTGAGGGGGAAGGAGAGAGTTTCACATTCTGTTCGGGAAGAGGAGAGAGAAAAAGGCATGTGGACCCCTCCCTCATCCTTTGGGTGTAAGCGTTTGGTGCTTTCTGGGGTGGGTGGAGGAGGAGGGTTGTTGTGCTTGCCACGTCAGTGCAATGGTTGCCTGTGATTCCGCTGCTGCTGCTGCTGCTGCTGTTGTTGCTGCTACTGCTGTTGACTGACTGACTGACTGACAACGACGATGATGGCGATGGCTACGACTACTACTACTACTATTATAATAGCTATTACAATTACAGTTACAGTTAGTGTGACAAGGAGTACGATTACCATTCTCAGTTGTTCTTATTCTCGAATAGATCCAACTTTTTATCATAGTTGTTTACTTCCACATATGTAGATGTTAGTTATCATTCATATCCCTTTTCCCTGTGTGTTTCACCTTTTGCATTAAAATTAGATTCACGTTGGCGGATGGACATTTTGCTGACTGAATTTCCGTTTTCATTTTATTCCTTGCATTTGTCTCGCCTTCGACACTGCTTTCTGTGGGATTGTATGATTGAATTCATGTATAGGATAGGTGTTGCGATCAAATTTGTTGGTTGCGCTTCTCCGTAACGTTGATGTGTGAGGTATAGCAAATACTATCAAATCAAAGTGCGCATGTTTTGTCGAGAATTCTAACCATCCATCTGTTAATGTTGCGAATAATTACTCCGAACAGTTTAGGTTGACCATTCAGGGGGATATGTGTGATCGATAGTTTGTTTATCCACACTCTTTTGTTAGGTCACTTCTATTACTTGCTGTTTAGTTCCATAACTTGATGGATGCATGACGTGGGTCAGTCATTTCTTAGGAGTATAAAACTATATTTTCTTTTCCAGTCAGTGGTTCCGGCAAATACCAGTGGTAGTTAAAAAATGTTCAGCAAAGAAGAGCGATTCCTTCAAGTTCGTTTTGATGAAGTGGTTTTTGAATAGTACATTATCAGTGTGTTTTTTGTCAATTTTTGCTATTAGCCTCAAAATTGTTTTATTTTGGATTTGACTGTGGGAAACGGAAAGTTGATATGTGTCGATATATCCTATTCATAACAAGAACTGATCTCTTTGATTTTCGGACTGATATTGTCGGTAGGATACATGTGAGAGAATATGGTGGTGATATAAAATAAGAAATATGATATATCAAGAGGGATGTTCGAGTCTGTTGCTCAACAGTTGTGTTCTTAGTATTTATTCGCTGCTAAGGTTCTGATTGCTGCCAAGGTTACTATTGTTGTTGCTCGTTCTTTCCTGATGTTTTATCTCAAGCTTTATCTTTGTTGACCTCTAATCATCTTGTTATCTGTGTTACTGGTTGGATAGGTACAATTCTGTCCTACCATATCTTATTTCTTCTGGATTACGGAAATGAAACGTTGATCTTCATTTCGTTTTTTGGAGAATGATTTATTCGGAAAATGTGCAACGAGGTAGAAATTGAAAAGTATTTTTTGAGTAATTAAGTATGCTTCGGAAGTCAGTAATGTTGACATACGATTAATTGCAATTGATAAAACTGACATAGTTTTCCATTCTTACCTGATTTACGTTAACTGATAAATTGACCATTTTAGCTGAAGTTTCAACAGTAGAGTAAAACGTGCATGATTCAAGCCATAGGTCAAAGATTTGTGCAAGCGAGTGAAGCACCTTTTGTTTTCATTCGGCATTTCACGCTTGCACTTAATGTGGAAAGCAGTTGTAAACATTTGATTATTGGCAAGATGAGGATTACCCGGTGAAAATATTCATTAAAGGTTTTTAGAAATAGGGACGTGACTGAGAATGTCTTGTTTATTTTTTGGTGAAGGGATTCAGGAAACTATGATGATTCATGCGCTATTTATTCGTATTCCCATCGTTTTTTTGGATTGAATTGCACTGGAAGCATCGGAAAACTTTTTGAGGAAGAGAGATGGAAGCATTTTTGAGCAGTATTTAACATTCTGGTGATGCGATTTATTGTTAGCCACATTTGACTTTCTTAACCATTAAAGATGAGGTTTCATCTTGCCTTCGTTCTCTGACTCGGAAATTGAAATTAAGTTTTGTATATTTTCTATTTAAAGAAAGAGTAAGGATGACGTCTGAGGCATTGAATGTGTTAGATAAAATATGTCGGGAGAAGTTTATTGAATGTGTTAGATAAAATATGTCGGGAGAAGTTTCTAAGTTAGAGATTTCCAAATACCAACCAGACTTCGGGTTGTTGATGCTTCGAAAGTATATATATATATGTTATCCTGTATTGAAATAATTCATGATTATGAAATTGCTTGGTAAATTGTGTTATGTGATTATAATTTGCAAATTAATAATTGTGTAGTATTCAGCAAACGTTTTTTTTTTTTTTTCTTTCTCGTTTGCGTTGTCTTGATCTAGTTCATGTTTTCCAGGACCACGGTTTGACAAACATACGTTTAACAAGCAATTATTGTGTGGAATATAACGGATGAGGGATCATCCTTTACTGTATGAAATACTGCTTTGTAATCAGGAGGATTCAGATTCATTTGCGAAAGTATTCAAAGAGGGAAAGAAGCGAAAAAGTCACGACTGAGCAGGAAAGTTGGAAGGAATTGGAATATTAAACTAAATTAGCCTTTACAGGTGCAGTAATTCTTATTATTGTTTATACACAGTACAATCCAGGAAACTGTGATTTGTTGGCGATCAACGAAGCAATCAATAGTTGCACGCGCAGTATTGCCAATTCTTCCATGGAATGGTTATCAGCGCCCAAGTGCTTAGTATTAACGTTGGCGGAAGCAGCAACAACAGTAGTAACGGTAACAATAATAATAAAGGAACAAAATCCTGCATTGGCAATAAGAACAAATCATCAGGAACGGAAAAAATTACAACTGGTGACGAAATCGAAAATCAGGAAGATCAGCAACAAAAAAATCAAGAGTGTAGCATCAATTCATCGGTTGCGAAAACTCCTGCAGTCTGGTTTAAGCATCAACCGCAGCATCCTAAGTGGCTGCTGAATTGCTGCTCATCAAATCTTACCACAGCTGCGCAACAATTAACTGTGCTGATTGATAGTATCAGTATCGGTAGCTGTATTCCGAATCCTATCGTGACACCAACGACTAATATCTCTATCATTGCTACTGCTACTGATAGCAGGAACACGACGATACCAGCAACTACAGCGGTTTCCACAACAACTGTTCCTGACACTACGACAGAGCAGGATATGAGCCGAGAGAGTCGTCATGTCCATGTAATCGGCCTACCGGATAGTCTTTCGGATGAACGAGTCTCATCATTTTTTTCCACGTAAACAATATTTTTCGTTCTTTTTATCTGTTTCTGTGGGTTATCGTATTTACCATTTAGTATAAATGTGATGTCAGCGACCTGTTTGATGTATCGTACGGTGACATCTACGAATCTCATGAGGAAAACTAATATCCATAGAATTGTCATGCAGAAAGTTAGTAATACCTTAACGCGCTTCTACTTTGAAATCTTGTAGTCCTACGACTAATAATTTTGGTCTTAATATACACGGAATGTGTTGCTTAGGTAAATGAGCTTTAGAAACAGGTTTATCGTAGTCAGTCAAAACACGTAACGCTTACACCTGTTAACCCTAATAGTCTAATTTATAATGAGAAATTGAATACAAGACAATTTCTCGATAAAAGTGGTTATGACATAACAATTCGGATTCATGGTAAACTCATAAAAGTATATTAATAACTAGAAGAAAGTAATCCGAACATTTTTTTAGCAGTTTTATTAACACTTCATCTCAATTACTAGCCAGTTGAGGAAGCCGATCTCCGATAGCAAGTAAATGTAGCATTTTGTCATAACTATTTTTTTTCTTTTTTTTTTTTTTGCTGTCAAACGGCGACTTTACAACGTCTTTCAATTTCAAAAATGATAAATATGACTGACTGGCGACCTAACCAGCCATATTTCAATTTTGAATGACGAGGGAGTGTTTGAATTAAATACTAAATGGTTGTCGTCGATTCTGGGTGATGGTTTTTGATGTGGGATGACTTTATATTGTTTTTTTTTTTTTTTTTTTGGGTGGGGGGAGGGGAGGAAGTGATATTGACCAAAAGCTATGATAATAGGAAGGATAAAGGTGTTTGTTGACAATGGTAAGCGATTAAGATAGTATGGAAGTGGAAAATGTTTTTCTTTGTATTTTGCAAATTTATGCAAAATGTAGTATGATTTACTTTTTTTGCAGAAATCGTTGTGCCGCAACGGGAGTTGGTTTGCATTTGTTGGTTTATAATTACTCTAATGGGATACTTTAAATACTTAAATGAACTTTTACGGAACTCTTTAGTGGTCGGTTTCTTATGGAGTTGGGTATTTAGCATACGATGTTAGTAAATTGCAACCGTACCACAGAAAAAGATGAATGGTGATTGAAGTTCTACGTACATGCACATATTGTTGGGCTGCAAATTTTGTGCATGGTGTGTGGTCGTGGTGCGCGTAGTATGTTGTACCATGATGAGTTGTAGCTTGCGGAATAGGGTAGTAAAACGTCTAGTCATCATTTCTTGGTTTAATAGTTATTTATTGTAATCTCCGACGACCAAAGATCGGGATATTTCTTTGTCGCTATAGGAGGAAAGAGCGTGATACCCCTACCTGCTCTCTGACAATTTTCTTCACTCTATTAACCTTTCGTCTAAAAAAAATGCAAGTTAGCTGTCTTGCATCCTACGGATTTAGTGGTGATAGGTGAAATTTGTCTTATGGTAATTGTAATGTAATTTATCTATTTCATTTGTACGCAAGTGGAAACTTTGCACTGTGATACTAGTGTTACCATTTTAGGTTTGCTTAAAAAACTTTGAGGACGTGATAATATGTAAAAGTTGAGTAGTGATAGTTCATATGTGTGTATAGTGTCAGTGGCGCTAACAGCGGAACATTCATTTTCTTCTCTTTCCCTTTAGCAACATCATTCAGCATTACATGAAAAAGTGGGAGAGATGACAGCAAAGACTCTATGTGAATTATGTCACATATCTTTCGTAGATGATATGGTTAACTTCGTTTCTTGGTTTTTAACTTTGATAATTCAAAAAAAGATAACTAGAGATAAAATTTTCGTTTTGGTGAGAGCTGTGTGATAGGGTACAATGATGATGTTCGATGGTTGAAAGGCTTTTTTATTTTTAATTTTTAGATTTGGTCGTGTGCAAAAAGTGGAGCGTTTGGGTACCACTGGTTTTGTGGTTAGCTTCATGGATGTTCGGTCGGCACAAAAAGCTCATTCAGCGGAGCCGAAATTTCAAGGCCACCAGTTGCGAATCGCATTTCACGAACAGAGCAAGAA